CTTAGTTAACTAGTCTGCTGGCCTGGGTGCAGTCGTGGCTTTCCATTTACAGGAGCTGCTAATTGGATATCAGTACCTGCCCAGCCTTGGTCCATTCTTAGGGGCCTCTAGATGCAGGTCTTGGCTATTTTGCTCCAAATATTTTGTGGGTGCAAATATGCTTTGGGTGCAAAATGTGGCCAGGTAAAACAAATGAGAACAGTGTTCTTGATCTTTAGCATGCTTGAGAACCACCTGTGAACTTGGTAAAATACAGTCTCAGGCCCACCCAAAAGGTTCTGATTTAGTATGTCTGGAGTAAGGTCTGAGCATTTTACATGTTTAATAAGAACTTGCATTTCTAACAACAAAGTGATGCTGGCATTGTTGGTTTGCAGATTACACTTTGCATAAGCCACTGCCTTTGAAGGATGACCCAGCTAACAGAAAAGGTTACAAATTTGTTCCTTTATCTTCAATCAAGTCAACAAAGAACTCTGGTCCTGCAGGTGCAGATGCTTATCCCTCCCTGACTCCTTCCACTGCTGAGCTAATCCTTTAGGGCTTTGCTTGACTCCATCTGGAGCCTAAGCCAGCTCCTGCCACCTAAGTAATACCTCCCTTACCTGAATTTCTACTGCACTTCAACACACTGCTGCCTGCTTTTGTCCTAATTACGCACTAATTGTTCCCTGCAAGTGAATTTTGTCATATATCTGAACCTTAATGCAATTGGACAAAGGCCCTCTCAACACTCACAGAGCTAGGAGTAGGCACAGAATGCTTCTTAAAATACATTTCAAAGATCAAAGCAGAGCTAAATGAGCGTGCTTTGGAATGTAAGAACAGGTAACACTGGAGAGCTGTGACCATAAAGGAGTCATCAGATCAATCCATCACCATGTCATTTTGGCTGAGGTTCTAAATTTTTTTGTTTGAAGTGGCTGGCATGAGATAAAGAGCAACTCTGCTGTGTAGAAGACTAATTGACTTGCATTTTCTGGCATTTTCTCTAGATAGAAATTAGTTCAAACTATTTCCAAGATGTTCAAAAATTGGATGTGGCTGCATGAAACAGGTTAAAAAGTTAGATATGTTAGGGACTGACTATGGAATGGCAATGTGGGGAGTGTGGCAGACCCTCTTCCCTAGTAAATATCATATAAGTCCTGAAAATTATAAAAGGATAATTAAAAGATAAGATGTATTTTCGGGTGAAGGGGAGAAAGGAAGCAAAACACACTGCCATGTGTGTACCTATGCAACTGTCTTGCATGTTCTGCACATGTACCCCCCAAACCTAAAATGCAATAAAAAATTAAAAAAAAAAAAAAAGATGTATTTTCAAGCCCTAGAGCAACCACTAAGAAAATACTTCAAAACATACGGAGTTTAGAAATCATTAAGGGCCATAAATTTTTCTGCTAGAAAATATTCACTTAATGAAAAAGAAGGTAGCAAAGGAGGAACAGAAGAAAAAAAAAAAAGAGACATAGGAAAAAAGAAGTAAATTGGCAGACATAAATCCAACCACACCTATAGAAACACTAAATATGAATGGATTACACAATCCAATCAAAAGGCAGAGATTGCAGACTAAATAAGAAAACAAAACCCAAATATACTATGTCAACAAAAATATATGCTAGATTCAAATAAACAATTGGCTGAAAGTAGAAAAATGGAAATAAACACACCATGCAAACAGCAGTCATGAAAGAAATGAAGTGGCTATAAATATATCAGACAAAACAGACATTAAAATAAATAATGTCACTGGATATTAAAAAAGACATTTCATAATGTTAAAAATTATCAACCCATCAGGAAAATATAGTAATTACAAACTATATGCAACTAATAATAGAGACCCAAAATACATGAAGCAAACATTAACAGAATTGAAGGAAGAAAGACAATTCAATAATAGTTGAAGACTTCAATATCTCAATTTGAACAATGGATACAGGAACTAGAGAGAAAATTGACAAGCATATAGAAGACATCTAAAGAATATACCACCCAATAACAGAAGAATATGTGTCCTTAGATAGCACACATGGAATATTCTCCAGGATAGACTGTATACTAGGCCGTAAATCAAATCTCAATAAATTTAAGAGGAGTGAAATTATACAAATTGTTTCCAGCCACAGTGGAATAAAATTAGAAACCAATAACATAAGTAAATCAGGAAAATTTAAGAATATTTGGAAGTTAAATACATACTCTTAAATAATCAATGGCTCAAAAAATAAATCATAAGAGAAATACAGAAATACTTAGAAATGAATGAATATTAAAACACAACATTCCAAAACATAGGCGACGCATCTATAACAGTGCTTAGAGATGAATTTATAGCTATGAATGTCTATTTTTAAAAAGAGGGTAGATCTCAAATCAATAACCTAATATTTCACATTAAAAACCTGGAAAGGAAGAGAAAACTAAACCCAAAGCAAGCAGAAGTCAGAAAATAATAAAGAATAGAGCAGAAGTAGATGAAATAGAGAATAGAAAAAATCAACAAAACTAAATATTGGTTATTTGAAAAGAGTAATAAAATTGACAAACCTTTAGGTACCAAGAAAAAGAAAAAAGATTCAAATTACTAAAATCAGGATTTAAAAAGAGGCATCACCAGTGACCTTAAAAAAATAAAAATTCCACAGAAATTCAAACCATCATCAGAGATTATTACAAACAACTCTATGCACATAAACTAGTAAACCTGGAAGAAATGGATAAATTCCTGGACGCTCGTCTCCTCCCAAGCCTAAACCAGGAAGAATTTGAAACCCTGAATAGACCAATAACAAGGGCTGAAGTTGAGGCAGCAATTAAGAGCCCACCACCCAAAAAAAGCCCAGGTCCAGATGGGTTCACAGCCAAATTCTACCAGACATACAAAGAGGAGCTGGTACCATTCCTTCTGAAACTATTCCAAATAATCCAAAACGAGAGAATCCTTCCCAAATCATTTTATGAGACCAACATCATCCTGATACCAAAACCCAGCAGAGACTCAAAAAGAAAAGAAAACTTCAGGCCAATATCCATGATGAACATAGATGTAAAAATCTTCAATAAAATACTGGCAAGCCGATTGCACCAGCACATCAAAAAGCTTATCCACCATGATCAAGTAGGATTCATCCTGGGGATGCAAGGCTGGTTCAACATACGCAAGTCTATAAACGTAATTCACCACATAAACAAAAAAATAAAATAAAATAAATAAAAATAATTATAAATGAATGATATGTTATACCTTATGTAATTGTGCCATAGTTCTTATATATTCTGTTCTAATTTTTTCATTTATTTTTACCTTTGCTTTTTCAGTTTGGAAAATTTCTATTGACGTATCTTCTAGCTTACTGATTCTTTTCTCAGCCATGTCCATTCTGTTGATGAATGCACCAAAAGCATTGTATTAGTCCGTTTTCACACTGCTGATAGAGACACACCCCAGACTGGGCAATTTGCAAAATAAAAAGGTTTAATTAAACTCATAGTTCCACGTGGCTGGGGAGGCTTCACAATCACGGCGGAAGGCAAGCAGGAGCAAGTCACATCTTACATGGATGGCGGCAGGCAAAAAGAGAGCTTCTGCAGGCACACTCTTATTTTTAAAGCCATCAGATATCATGAGACTTACTCACTATCAAGAGAACAGCACAGGAAAGACCCGAGCCTATGATCCAATTATCTCTCACCAGGTCCCTCCCACAACACATGGGACTCATGGGAGCTACAAGATGAGATCTGGGTGAGGACACAGAGCCAAACCATATCAGTCATCTTTTTTTTATGGTGTTTTTTTCTTTCTAGCATTTTCTTTTGTTCTTAAGGTTTCTATCTCCTGTATATTGTCCACATTTTTCATGAGAGCTTTTGGCATATGAAAGAGTTACTTTAATACCCAGTCTCATAAATTCAAAATATCTACCATATCTGGGTTTGGTTCTAATGCTTAAATTTTTTTTTTCAGGCTGTGTTTTTGTCTCTTTAGCATGCTTTGTAATTTTTTTTGTTGAAAGCCAGACATGACATACTGGGTAAAAGGAACTGAGCAGTAAATAGGCCTTTAGTGTGAGGTATTAGTTCATGGGAGGAGTAAGGCTGTGTTTACTGTTTGCTGTAACTGCAGGTGTCAAAAGCTAAATTTCCTTTAGTGTCTTTGGTTCTGTCCCCCTGTTGTCTTTGGGTTTCTCTAAATACTACCTATCAAATAGAATCTGAACCTTGTAGTCCTTTTACATCTATAATTCACTGTTGTTGTACTGAAGCCTAATTGATGTAGTGTTGATTCAAGATTATGAAATGATAAAACACTCATCAAACAAGTGGTAGAAAAATGGCATCTATGAAAAACCAAATTAAGATCATGTTTAATGATAAAAGATTGATTGCTTTCCCCTTGAGACTAAGAATAAGACAAAGTTGTCCATCTTACCGTTACTATTCAATACTACATTGGAGTAGCCAGAGCAATTAGGCAAGAAGAATAAATAAAAGGCATCCAGATTGGAAAGGAAGAAGTAAAACTTCTTCTTATGTCTCTATCCACAGATGACATGATCTCTTATTTAGAAAAAACTAAAGAATTCACACAGAACAATGAGTCTAATAAAGGAGGTCAGCAAAGTTGCAGGACATTAGATGAATATATAAATATCAGTTGTAGTTCTATACAGTAGCAATGAACAATTCAAAAATAAAATTAAGAAAACAATTTACATTGGCACCAAAAAATTAAAATACATAAGAATAAAAAGGACAAGATTTACAACCTGAAAACTACAAAATATTGTTGAAAGAAAGTAAAGATATAAACAAATGGAGAGACAGCTCATGTTCATAGATTGAAGGACTTAATAGTGTTAAAATGGCAATACTCCCAAACTAATCGATAGACACAATGCAATCCCTAGCAAAATTTCAGCTGGCTGTTTTGGGATGTTGAGGGGAACTGACAAGCTGACTCTAAAATTCATATGGAAATACAGACTTCCGTTGTAGCCATGGCAGCTAACGCTACTACCAACCCATTGCAGCTGCTGCCGTTAGAGCTTGGACAAATGTATAGGATCAAGAATTCACATTGTGATGAAGAATGATAAGGAAATTGTTGGTACTCTAGGATTTGATGACTTTGTCAATATGGTCCTGGAAGTTATCACTAAGTTTGAAATCACACCAAAAGGAAGAAGGATTACTAAATTAGATCAGATTATGCTTAATGGAAATCATATAACAATGCTGGTTCCTGGAGGAGAAGGACCTGAAGTGTGAATGAGTTTCCTTGACTTATGCTAGATTCTGTTTTGTCTTATAATGACAAGAAAATTGATTTTTTTTCATCTCCTAATGTTTAAATCCTATAAAGCTAAGTTTCCTGTTAAAGGGAAGTGCTTTGAAGATGTATACCCATTTTTGTAGGTTAATCATGATTATCCTGGAAAAAGAAGAGTTTCTTATTTAAAGATGAAAATAAAGGTGTTTTTGGTTAACAGTCATTTTATTGATTGTATTGCAGTAGCCAGTGGAACAAAGATTGTAGTTATTTTCCTACTCACTTTGGTCATTATATGCCTATTTGCTTTCTCATTTACATGACCATTTGATTCTCAGACAAAGGTTGTTCCAAACAAAATGATGAACTTTGATTTGAACAGGTGCATTTAAACAACCAGAAATGATCACTTAGAAAATTTAACTAAAATGCTGTTGTTTTGTAATGAGGATTTTTCTACTGATTTCGAATTCCATGAACTACTCTTGAAAACAAACAGAATATACAGGTAATATATACACATTGTAGAAATGCAGGAAATATCTATTGGCATTACCCTAAAGATAGAAATTGTATCTATTTGCTTGTAAAATTGGTTCAGAGGGTTATTAACTTAATGTAGTTACTACCAAATTGCCAAGAAATTAGTGGAGACAGAGTTATAAGGTAAAATATACTAAAACAGCCAAGAACTCTGGGCTCAGGTCAAATCAAGGAACTGATGATAAGATCACTGAACTGCATAAATTAAGTCAAAGTTAAGAATCCTATTAGAAACAAAATAAACAGGCAATATATGCACATCGTAGAATTGCAGATAGGCAAAAAGGAGAAAGTTGATCATACGTTGCTGTATATCTTCATAGACTTTCTCAGTCTACTCTCAGTACACATTTAACTTTTGTATCCTGAATATACTGTTTTTACTCTCCACTTAAGTCATTTTTTGAATTTAAATGGTGAATATCTTTCTGTGTCAAATATGTCAACACTAATGTGTACATAAATTTTATTAAATGGATTTACTATTTAAAAAACAAAAACAAAAAACAAGAAATTGTACGGCAAGAGCAGAGGCAAGGGAGAGAGGAGAGGTGACAGACTCTTTCAAACAGGAACTAATGAAGCAATAGCTCATTACTTGAAGATGACTCCCAGCCATTCCTGAAGATTTGCACTCCAATTAAGCTCCACCTCCAACCTTGGGAATCAGATTTCAACATGAGATTTGGAGAAGTCAAATAACCAAACCATAGCACACACCACACATAAAAAGTAACTCAAAATTGATCATAGTAATCCCAGCACTTTGGGAGGCCGAGGCAGGTGGATCACGAGGTCAAGAGATCGAGACCATCCTGGTCAATATGGTGAAACCCCGTCTCTACTAAAAATACAAAAAATTAGCTGGGCATGGTGGTGCATGCCTGTAATCCCAGCTACTCAGGAGGCTGAGGCAGGAGAATTGCCTGAACCCAGGAGGCGGAGGTTGCAGTGAGCCGAGATCGCGCCATTGCACTCCAGCCTGGGTAACAAGAGCGAAACTCCATCTCAAAAAAAAAAACTATAAACTCTTGGAAGAAAACAGGAGTAAATCTTCATACCCTTGGAATGAGCAATAGTTTTTCAGATATCACATCAAAAGCACAGCAACAAAAGAAAAATATGCACACTGGACTTCATCCAAATTAACACATTTGTGCTATAAATGATGTTATCAAGAAAGTAAGAAGACAATCCATAGAATTGGGAGAAATATTTTCAAATTATACACCTGATAAAAGACTTGTACCCAAAAAATAGCAAAGGAGGAAACACAACTCAGTTCTTTAAAACTCACTTTAAACATGGGCAAAGGATCCGAATAGAAAGTTCCCCAAGGAAGATAAACAAATGATTAACAAGCACATAAAAATATGCTCGAAATCATTCATCAATAGGGAAATGCAAATCAAAGCCACAATGAAATGCCACTTCACACTCACTCGGATGCATACCATAAAAAAGGCAAACAATAGGACATGCTGGCAAGAATATGGAGAAACTGGAACCCTCAGTGCATTGGTGGGGAATGTAAAATAATGCAGCCACTTCGGAAAACAGTTTGGCAATTCTTCACAAAGTCAAACATAGAGTCACCATACAGCCCAGCAATCTCTCCCTAGGTATATACCCAAGAGAAATAAAAACATGGCCACACAAAAATTTCCATTCAAATATTCAAACAGCATTGTCATCAGCTGATACAGGGATGGATAAAATGTGGTATATCCATACAATAGAATATTATGTTAAGGTGGCAAAAAGAAATGAAGTTCTGATAATCCCACAATGTGGATAAACCTAGAATACATACTAAATCAAAAGAGCCAGTCCCAAAGGCCACATGTTATATGATTTCCTTTCTATGAAACGGCCAAAACAAGCAAACCTATAGGGATATAAAATAGATTAGTGGTGCCTGGGTCTGGGGTGGGCTAGGAAGGCATGGGGGGTGACTTCTAATGGGCATAATGTTTGTTGGGTGTGATGAAAGTGTTCTAAAATTAGATAATAGTGACTGTTGAAAAATTCTGTGCATATACTGAAAACCATTGAATTGTACACTTTAAAGAGATGAACTATAGGAATATAAATTGTATTTCACTAAAGCTGTTTAAAAAATTAATATGGTGAGTGTGATAGCTCAGCACCTCCACACACTCAGGATGGCTGGAAGTGGAAAGGCAGAGGATGTCTAAAGTGGTGTGCAGTCTTCTTCCGCATGGCTGGATCCCAATTCTCCTGCCATGTCTTCGGGAATCTCTCTCTCTCCCGGGACTGCTTTCCTCTGAATTTACCCTGTTCTCAGGCAGACTGCCTCATCAAGCAACCAGCAACTCCAGGATTACAAGCTTCCAGTCCACCACTTTACCCACTCCAGTAAAAAGACTGCTTTTCCCAATACTTATAGACAAAACCCCCAGGCTGCTTCCCATTGGCCTGGCTTGGGACATTTGCCTACCCATTGAGTCAGTCACTGTGGTCTAGGGAACGAGCCCCGACTGTCTGACTGACCTGGCCTGGATGCCATGCACACTGCTATGTGGGTGATGGCTAGCCCACTGGGACAATGGATTATCATGTGTTGTGGTATTTTCTCCCAAGAATTTTGAGGTGCTGATAGCAGAAGCGAGTACGGGTATTGGGATCCACTACAGTGGTAGAAAGTATAATTTAATAAAGCAGTGTCATTAAACCTTCTGAGCACAGCAATGAAAACATCTATTATGATCCCTGGAAGTGATTTTTAAACCCATGTGAAAAAAAGGGTGTGCCCAAGGTTGAACAATAGACTTTGATTGAATATCCAGCTACACAGATGGCACCTCTTGGAAAATTTCCAAAATGAGAACAAACAGTTGAAGCTCTCTATGGTTTTGATAAATCTCATCCTTGGTATTCTATAGCTAGACTTGGCACAATTCTGACATATAGTTCCAACTGCAACTTTTCCATTTCATCATAGTATACACAAACCTGACTTCTAATAGCAAGACTGCAGAAGTAGAGGAGCCTAACATGTCCCCCAAATTAAATGAGGGAGTGGGGTGAGGAGAAGAGCTGCAAATACAGGAAATTGTAAGGATATTATTTTACACTGGGGGCTTTCCCATAGCTTAGCATTTTCATGCATTAATTTCTCTTTGCAAATAAAGACCAGATGCTATCTTGTAGTTTCTGTAGCTTCAGTAGCAATTCTGCAAAGTAGATGTAAAAGAAATTTTTCAAAATACTACTAGTTTTATTATCAAGAATTTTATCTTGTGTGAGAATGCTGCTACTACTACTATTAAAATTAATAATAGCTAACAATTATTGAGCACTTACATGTAGTAGCTCATTTAATCCTCACAAAACTTTAAGAGGATGGTATCATTTCAACAATTAGGATATTCAGAGAGGTTAAGTGACTTATCTAACATCACAAAACTAATAAAGGAGGGGGCCAAAAAAAATTTTTTTTTTTGAGATAGAGTCTTACTCTGTTGCCAGGCTGGAGTGCGGTAACATGATTTCAGCTCACTATAACCTCCACGTCCTGGGTTCAAGCAATTCCCCTTCCTCAGCCTCCCAAGTATCTGGTACTACCAGTGTCTGCCACCAAGTGCAGCTAATTTTTTGTATTTTAGTAGAGACAGGGTTTCACCATGTTGGCCAGGATGGTCTCGATCTCCTGACCTCGTGATCTGCCCACCTCAGCTTCCCAAAGTGCTGGGATTATAGGCTTGAGCCACCTCACCGGGTCAGGGCCAGAATTTAAACTCATCTCCTGGTCACTTCTTTTGACCACCTTACTTGAATTTTAGGAGATAGCCTCTAAGTGATTAGACCCATCAGAAGACTTAGTGCTTCTGCCTTGAGGCCTCATTACTGCAGTGACCACAAAGGCACACACATGAAACAGCACACGCACACACACATACACACACGTATACCACAACTGTCACACACTCCCAGTCTGCTTCTGTTCCAGCTGATCTGATGTCCCTCTCTCACTTCTTTCTCAGAAAGGCAGCCAACACTCAGATGTGGAGCCAGAAGTCAATGCCATTTCCTTCCTGGGCAACCCTTTATAAATTGCTTAAACCCTCTAATCTTCAGTGCTTGTAAAAGCATTCTGCCTCCCTCACCATGTCTTTGTCAGGATCAAATAAGCTTATGTTGGGCAGGCACTTTGGATGTATAGCTGTAGCATTTGTATCAGAGGAAGACATTACATTCATTTCTCACAGTGGCTACAGAAACGGGGCTCCAGGCGGGCCCCTGCTCCCTGCTCTCAGCAGCCCTTGACATTCAGAGTGTTGGCTACATCATTCATTCTTCCTGTCTCTGAGGAAAAGAATGCAAAGAGGTTAAAAAAAATGGAGCTGGGTGCCTTTACTCTATGCCAGCCTAAAGGGGCATATACCAGACTCGTTCTACTCCTTTATAGGTCATTTGGGTCTAAAAGTCAAAATAATCACCAAAACTCTGTAGCAGCCAGCTTTTGGAAAGGAATACTCACCGGTAACAAGCTGATATGACTGGGATCTTCTCCAGACCTTTTCAGGTACACAAATCACACCAGATCTAGTGTAATCCCCAATGAAAGAGAAGGCTCTACATTTTCCAGGGCTGGATTCAAAGAAGACTCCACCGCTCAGGGACAGAGCCACAATCCTGGCTTGCAGGTGTTTGTCAGGAATGAATGGAAGAGAAGGCATGGGAACTCATGGAACGGATGAAAGAGAAGGCATGGGAACTCAGAAAGGCTGTTTGTTAGAAGAGAAAGGGTTCCCCTCCCAAGGCCAAGGAAGTGGGTATCCTCAGAGTCACCTATCAAGTTTGGAGGAGTTTATAAGTAAGGGAGGCTAACAGGTTGTTTGGTTGGTTTCTTAGTCCTTGGGCTTTCCAACCTACCCA